AAGTACATTCACTATAAGCCAGTTGGATGTGGTGATGCATACCTCTATCCTCGCACTTTAGAGGCTGAGGCAGGAGGCTAAGGCCAGCCACTACATAGATCACTACATAGTGAGACCCTGTCTCATATATATGATAGATTGCTATTTTTAGTGTTCTTTTAAACAGTGTTAACTGCAGAAGAGATATTTCTATATTGTTTTCTGTTTCAAAATTTAGATGGTACTAACAATTGAAATAAGTTTTTAAATAGGAACTTAGCCATTAAAAAAAGCAGGATGGCATTTTTTATGCATGCAAATTAAAAGCAAATGTAGGGGCTGGGGGTTTAGCTCAGTGGCAAGAGCACCTGCCTAGCAGGTGTGAGATTGTGAGTTCAATCCCCAGTACAAAAAAAAAAAAAGAAAGAAAAATAAATGTATTTCTTATAATTAAGAATTTTTTTTACTTGGGAGGCCTAGGCATGTGTATTTTGCAGAAGCTTCCTGTGTGGTTCTGATGCACATCTTGCAAAAGAGGAAAAAGATAGCTGTCATTTTGGCCAATACTATTTTTGGAGTAAATTGTTGCTTATCATAATCCATAAAATAATATTATCTAATTTAAAATGCTGTAACTTCCTGATAAACATTCTAAGAAGTAGTTGTCATAAAATGTATGTATCTCTACTTAAATATCAGCTAACAAAAATTATGGTTTTTAGAATGATTATTTTTAAGTTAGTGATTTTTAAATCTAGGTGCACAGAAGAACCATCTGGGGAATTTTTAATAAATGAAACCCTTCCCTGCATCCCATCTCCAGAGATTTAATTCAGTTGTTCCTAGACATCGGTGGTATAAAAGCTCCCTGGATGAATTGCTTATGCAGCTAGGATTGAAAACTACTGGTTCAAGTTACTAGTTCTGTATAGAAGTTAAAATTTTTCAGGTAAAGGAAGGACAAATTGTAATGGGGGATATGATTTCACTTGTAATTTTATTTAAAGCAATTGGAAATTTGGGTTCAATTCCTAGCATCATAATAATAATGATAATGGGAACATTTGGAAATAATTTGTTTCTTGCTTTTATCCTAGGGTCTCTATGGCAGTGTGATAGTGGCAGGAGGAAACACGCTAATACAGAGTTTTACTGATAGGTTGAATAGAGAGCTGTCTCAGAAAACTCCTCCAGTAAGTTCTGTTTGTTTCTAGTAGCACTGTTTCATTATTAGTATGTCTTCACCAGTGTCATAGTTTTATAAGCCAGGGTTCATTTTTAAGTAGGTAGGTATTTTGTGTATGTGGTATTAATGTTGCTTATCAATTTTCTAAATGACATCTATTGATTTCTCAAATTGTTTGAATCTCAACTTTATGCATTAGCCTTATACTTGCTCATGAGTGTATAGTGTAATTACACACTAGGGTGGCCCACTGGAAAGTCAGACATGTAAAAAATAATTATTGTAATGAGCCAAGTGGGTACTCTTGGGAACACTGAGAAGCATTTAACTCTCTAGAGGAAAGCCCTATAAAGAAGCTGTTATTTAAATGAATAATTTAGGGGTTTGCTAATTTATGGACAGGACATCTAGGTGGAGCAAAAACCATGATGGAGCCAGGCATGGTGGCACACACCTGTAATCCAGCACTCTATAATTCCAGCATTCTGGGAGGCTGAGACTGGAGAATCACAAATTTGAGCCTGGTCTGGGCAATTTAGCAAAATGTGTTTCAGAGGTTAAAAAAAAAAAAAAAACAAAAAACGAGGGGGGCCGAATATAGCTCAGTGAGAAAACCCTGGATTTAATCCCCAGTACTGGGAAAAAAAGTATTATGGGAGGATTATATGTTCCAGTAGTTCAAAGTAATCAGTGATAGCTATGGGGAAAAGAGGAAGATGATGTGATTGGAAAGATGGGTGGTGTGTAGATTGCTTAGGGCTGCCATAAGAAAGCACCACAATTTGATGGCTTAAAACAACAGAAAAGTATTGTCTCAGGTCTGGAGACTCGATCAGAAATTAGGGTGTCACTAGGCCAGCTCCTGCTGCAGTCAGTAGTGAAAACACTTCCTTCCTTCTTCATGGCTTTCTGTGGACTGCCAGCAGTCCTTGGCTTGTAGCTGTGGTACTTTTCTTAAAAAAACACCAATCATACAGGATTAAAAGCCCATCCTACTCCATTATTGATCTCAATTTATATATGAATTACATCTGCACAGACTTTTATAATTAGGTCATGTTCATGGGTAAGAGGGATTAGGACCTCAACATATTGTATTTTTTTAGGGGTTATAATTCAGCCCACAGCAGATGTGTAGCAGTGCATGCTTTATGGAGTATTTTGGATTTAGTTAAATCTTAACAGGATAAAATTTGGTAGAGGACTGATGAGAGCATGTATGTTTTTAAAAGATTACAAGGTGTACTATAGTAACTTTTAAAAATAACCTGGATTAGAGAGAAGGTAATTTGTATGGTATATCAGTAATAGGAGTCATAATTTTAAAATTTCTATCAAGTAGTTTTTATAAGGTGCCACAAAATATTAACTTGGAAAGTAAACTTGAAAGGAGTTACACAGGCCCTAACAAATCTGTAGAATCTGTGTATTTAGTGGTCTTTTAGCTTATTTTACATATGCTCTATTTGTATAATTAAGGGTGGTATGGGTGGTATTTGCATATATATGTATTTACATGTTGACATCTGCTCTGTATATCTTAAGATTCTTGGAACTACAGGCTGATCTAGAGTACACCTAAAACAGTGTAGTTAGTAGATTTCAGAGTTCAGTGGTGGAGTACCTGCTTAACATGTGTAAGGCTCTGGGTTCCATCCCTAGTGTTGCAAAAAGGAAAGAAGTGTCCCTCACCTACACACTCACCCCTCTCACTCCAGCACGCATCCCACATCTCAAAACTTACCATGACACATACACATTTCACTGTGAAAAGAGTCAAACTTTATGTTCATATGTGCAATAACTGGAATGTATTAAAGACTTAACTACTAATCAGATCCCTAGGTAAGAAGGAAAATCTTTTGATATAGGAAGTGAGATAAAAGGATAGTACTGTGCCATAAACTTACCAAGAAAGTGTGAATTCAAGGCGTAAGCACTAATTTGGAAAAAAAGCAGTGGTCCTACCTGAGACCTGATAACTGCTTTGCTTTGGTTTGGAAAGACAGGCGTAGGCTAAGGAAGGATCAGGGTGGCCTGAGGCCTGGAGACTGATTGGTGTAACTGTACTCATTACTGGATGTAGTGAAATAATGCACAAGGCACTTAGCACTTCCTTATTTATGGTGATAAGTATGTTTCCTTGGATAAGATACAAATGCTAGCTAAAACATTGTCAAAAATGAATTTTCTAAGTTGAATCCACTGTTTTGATTGTACTAACACTTTTTTCCCCTATTAGAGCATGCGGTTGAAACTGATTGCAAATAACACGACAGTGGAACGGAGGTTTAGTTCATGGATTGGGGGCTCCATTCTAGCATCTTTGGTTAGTAGATACAGTTTTAAAGATTCTTGCTTGAATTAATTCCAGTGTTTCATTTATCCTTGCATTGCAGTTTTCAGATGAGTAGAAGACCTAATGTTTTATAACAGTGACTTTTAGCTTTATTGGACTTTTGTTAGCCTAATTTCAAAAATGTGAAAGTATTCATGCCTCTTCATACCCCTACTGGCACTGATCAGGATTTGTATATTTAAAATTAAATAATTTAGCTCTGTGCCATTCCCTAGTCTGCTAGTGAGGTATGCTGAAGTCAAGATTTGTTTCTTGGGCAAAAGAAGTTACACTGGATCTTGGATAGGTGTCGGTCTTGAATTAGGAGAAAAAGTCGTACATTTCTGGACCTGAGACTTAGAGCACTTCCCTTTTTCCTTGAAACAGCTGAAGTAAATGTCACTAAGTACTTAAACCTTGTGACAACTATTATTGCCTTAAGTTGGCACAGAGCCATTTTACAATATAAAATAGAATGATTTAATATTATTTTAAACCTGAAAGGCAAGGCTGTGTTATCTTTGGATGGTTTGGGGGAGGGCAGAAAGAATAGGAGTAATGGAGTGCTGTTTTGGGGGAGGGAGTTTGAGCTGTCAACATATAATATTTTCTCATAGGACAGACATAATTATATATTATGTCCATTTTCCAGGGCACCTTTCAACAGATGTGGATTTCCAAACAAGAATATGAAGAAGGCGGGAAGCAGTGTGTAGAAAGAAAATGCCCTTGAAAGTTTCTAGACCTCAACCCTCCTGTGTCACCTTACGTTTCATAGCTTTAGTACACTCAGGAAAGAATTACCATCTTTTGTAGAATGTTTATACATTTTTGCATATTTCAATTTCCACTTACATTTTTTAAGGCTTTAACTGGCTCTATAAATTAAAATGAGTTTGTGCTTTCCTTGAAATGTACTTATTCTGATTATGAGCATTTTATAATTTTGTATAAATATCTATTTTCTCTAAATATTTTCCTTTCAGTAAAATGCTTTCAAGCTTTGCTTAGTATATTAATAACCAGTGAATGGTAGAACTGCTTTTTATTGACTAGTAAAAGTTATTGCCTATGCTTTTTACCTTAGGCTTATAAAATTAATAAAAATTACCAGCCACTCCAGAAATATTTTCTGATTGTTGTATATTTTGACTTGCTACTTCTGAACACTATAGGTATTTTATCATTATTTTGAGTGAAAGTATTACATTTATTAATAATAGTTCCCATCCTCTTCATATCCTACTAACATTAATAGTAAAAATTGTGAATTCTAAAACTACTTTACTGCCTCTGCCTTAGACTGTTAATACCACTCTCATTCTGTAAGAGAGCAGGTGTGATGTTAAAAGCATGCGTAGATGTCAGGATTTTTAAGATGGGAATTTGGCCTGAATTTTATACCTGATTTTTAAAAAATGTGGTAGAAGCAAGAACACTTTGAGAATTCACGTCATATTTACCTTGAGAATATCGCTGTCATTTTAAAAAACACAATTTCTTTATAAATCACTTAGTATATATTTTTGTACACAGAAAAACATTAGATTTTTTTTTAGACAAGACTCGACTTCTGGGCTTCAGCAAGATGTGGAAACTTTTCTTGTAAAGCTTTCTCTTTCTTTTTCTCCAAACTGGCTTTTCTTGCTTTAATGCGGGCTTGTTTCTCAAGTCTCAGTCTAGAATAATAAGAACACAACAGCAATTTTTACAGAACTTTTTTTCTGCCACTTAATGCTACATTTCCAAATCAGTTACATAAAAGCTCAAATCCTACCAGTCTATATGGTACCATATTATTAAACTATTAAACTTGAACAATAATCTCTGTAAACATACACAAGAGACAAATGTTGAAATCAGAAGCACCTGTATCTGAATAAATTATGCTTTGTGACTGGATAATGTCCAGATCTTACAAGCCTGTGACAGACTGGGCCCCAAATTCAGTCCTCATATGACTAAACATACTTTTCTGCTTTAAGAACATCAACTTTATTGAGTACATTAGGTTTTTCATATCCTGAGATGTATCCTGGAACTTGTAATTACCTGATTTCAAATAGCATTCACCCCAGCTGACTGTCGCTAAACTGAATAAAACCATGCTAAAAGATGATGGTTAGGCATTGGTTAGACTTAGCATGCTCTAAAGCAGACTCTTTTCCCCGTCAGCATCCCAGGGCATGAGAATTTGTGTCTCAGCTAAAGTATAATGACCTGTAGGGCCATTTGAGTATTGTCAAAATTGAATATGATTATGATAAAGTTCATGGATGCCAAACCTCTAGTTCACTTAAATGTTTATTTTACAGTGTTTTATTTAAGCTATAATAATACAATTGAAGAGATCTACTGAACAATTACTATATACTGGTACTGTCAGAAGATCACAGAAATTTGAGAAGTTACATCTGGATGAAGACAAGACTATGTCTTAATTAGACATAATTAGAAAAAAGTATAAAGACTAAACAGCTGAAATTACCTATCCATCAGTTTTTGCTCCAATTCTGTTTTAGACATTTGTTTCAAAAAACCATTTAAACAATAAAAGTTGAGCACAGGATGGGAAAGACTTTGTATTTTACTCTCTAGACAAGAAGGTACTCTGTGTTTCTGAAGAGCATTGATGGGGGATAAATGGCTGGAGGAAAACTGGCCAGGAAGCAGTACTGAGTGGGACGGAATGAGGAAGATGCCAGCTAACACCAGTTAAGGACGGCAGGGACAGATCCTGGGGACATTCTGCAGGAGAATTCCGTACTGCCTGTGGAGTGCCGCTGGTGGAAGCATGACTGACGTTTAATGCCCACACAGAATGGGTACACCAGATAAAATGAGGTACTTTGTTCAGTTCAGTGGAGAAGATGCAAAATTTAAACTGACACTAAACTCATTCATGCTTACAGACATGTTCCATTCATACTAAAATCATTTTTAAAAGTAGTTTAAATTTTTGGTATAGAATATGGAAGCGAGCTTTTTGGAGGAGAAAGTCAGTCTCTGAAGAGTCCTTTCTGAAACCAACATGTATTATCCAAGACAGCTGTCAGAATTAACTTTCAGCTGCTTTTCCAGGATTGAGTTTTCATTTCTAGAACGATTAGCCAGCAGCTCTGCAGTTCCCTGGTGCCATCTCTCTCTGCAGCCATAGCAACAGAGTAAGAAACCATACTTGCAATTGTTTGCCCTTCAACTGCAGCTTTGGGATTAAATTCTTTGGCTTCTGTGCATTTGGGTGTGGATCTAGTTAAATAGCTCTTCTAAAATACCTTACTTAGCTTTTATAATTACCAACTGGTGGTACTTGATACCACGTTACTCCACTACCATGAAGGAACGCCTATAACTTCCCTATTCAATGATCCGCTTACCCCATCAGTGCCTAGTGATCCATTTTTGGAATGCCCAAAACAATGGAACAATGAAATGTGTTCTCTTCAAATTTTCATTCCTAGAATTTTTCTTGGTAACATGTATGAATTTCATGCAAAAATTCAAAAAATTTAATCTCTGGCATAAGTGGTTTAAAATGAATACGCTATAGGAAATATGTATAGATCTACATTATGCAGAATAGCATAATTTAGACACGATGAATCCAACAGACTTCTCTAAGTGCTTTTCATTAGCCTGCAATCACAAGCTCACATTTTAAGCACTTGAGTTATTCTGATCTGCATGTTAGAATTTCTCCATCTATTTACATACAAGTAGATAAATGGGTAATAAAACTTTCAAAAGGATACATACTAGTATTGACAGTGGCTGTTTTTCTCAATGGTTAAATATGTGACTTCTTCCTTTATTTTTACCTTACCCTATTTTTTACACTATGAACATACACAATTTATGTATGTAATAGAAATTAACATGTAAAGAAAGTTTAACATACGGATCTGATGTAAAGATACTACATTTCACTACCAGGAATATCTGTGCTCACCTGACAAAATGGTCCACATAAGGCATTGCAAAGAATCGTTTCCTGTTGTATCTTTTATTTAGGTACCAAGGTATAGGCCACTGCTTGAACTTGTGCCTGCCAAGAAACAAAAAAAGGTATTTGCCTTATAGAAAACAGTGCATTTTCACTTTCCTAATTTTTCATGTTTCCTTATTTAACTTCAAGTAAATTAACCCTAATATAAATTACTCGAAAATAAAGTGTTCAAAGGTTTTGTCACTAGAGAAAAGCTAGGGTCCTACACCTGGTATGCAAGCCCTCTCCCACTGATTTACACCCACAGAACCCAGAAAAGCTTGTTAGTGAGGTATTTCGGCAGTTTCTCTTCTTTGTGTTGAACTGCAATAAGCAGTCCTATTGCTGAATGCCTCTGGAAGCATTTACCAAAAGTGTAAATACTACTGTGTGGTGTAATTTCAAGCATTCAGGAAAGTTCTCCAGCTACCCAGTGCATTCTTCATTTTGCTAATCTTTGAGGTACTGCTAACTGTATTTTATCTGCTCAACCTGAAATGTAAATAAACCCCTAGAAGAGAGGTTACTGATACCTAGACTTTCTCTTTGTGAGTATCAGTTTTCCCATGCCTGACAAGACTTTGAGAATTATACAAATATACCTTATTCCTCAAGAAATCCTTTTTAAAAAATATTCATGGATTTTTAATGGACCAAGATGGCAGGGCGAAGTCCTAAAATCAACTTCAGGAGTTTTATAACCTGAAATCATACACATACATTATACTTTCTGGAGAAGGCATCCATAAGCTTTCAAAATTTGAAAAGGTCCTATGACTCAAGATATGAATCTGTTATTTAAAAAAAAGCCCCTACATCTATAATAACTGAATGATATGAATGGGATGGCTGGGCTAGTGCTAGTTTTACCCACAAAGCTACTTTCATTTGTATATCTTGGTGTTCCAAAGTAGTTTGTGATCTTTTCTTACACAGATACATCTGTGATATATCTCATCTGGTCCCCCCTTTGCCCCTCCTTCTCCCTTCTTCCAGCTCCAGCCCTTATTATTTGCTTTTGAGATAAGATCTTGTGAAGTTGCCCAGGCTGGCCTCCAAAATGTGATCCTACCCTATCAGCCTCCTGAGAAGCTGTGATTCTCTCAGTGGCTAATCCGAGAATTTCGTTAAAATATTCTGGGCAGGGGGATGGGATATCAAATCTCTACCCTCATCTCTGAAGAGTCACAATGTAATCTATATACCAAATGATTCTCCCGAAGATGTCTCTTCTCCAAGCACCAGGTCTAGCTCTTTCTTGACCAGTCTGTAAAAGCCTTAAAGCATCTTCTCGTTCCTGGACCACTTTATCTAATGCATCCATGGACTCAACTACCTGAGAAAAGAATGGGTAGATTCAATTTCAGCAATCTCTTTTAACAGTTCCAAAGGAAAAAAATACATAAAGACTTATGCTACAGAAGATCTATGGTCAATATGTTTTATCAAGGAACTACCACCAAGAGCTTTCGAAAAACTTTCTGACCCAGGCATGTGTTCAGTGGTGTCCCCAATATCACTTTTTGTAACCTTAAAAGTTCTAGCTTCATTAAATGAAAAGCTACTTCGCTTGAATTTCCACATACTACTTATACTCAGCATGACATGTGCCTGCAAAATTCCTTTTGGAGATTCAATTTTAGCACATGCTATTTTGAAATTTCACCTAAAAAGTGATACTAGTTTGTTACTTTTATTACAAATGTTTTGGCCTCAACTAATCACCATTTTCCTCACATTCTTACCTAGATATCATACCCTGCTTGGCAGCTCTTCTTACTATGGGGAAAGAAGTATTAGTTCACTCTGATTTTAGAGTAACCTCAAAGATCCACCAAGCTGTAAGAAGATACCACTATGCTTATTTTTTTCTCTTTGAAGATTCCTACAGTATGATTTTTAATGTACATAATAGGCTGGTAGAGTAATATGTGTTTGTATAGAAATTCTCAGACTGGAGACAAGTTTGTCCACAATTAATATACTGAGCCATTTTTAGGTGGGAGTGTGTGCTTTATCCTGGACCATTATCACAGATATCAAACACCACATATAAATAAATGTTTCTTATAAACTCCTTTAAAAAAGACAGATTGGAATATAATAACCTGCCCCCTTGCAGGTAGCTAATGTGAGACCAGATAGAGATGTGAAAGCCACAAATTTAGTCAAGTTCAGGCTCAGCACCTACACTGTTCCTAACCTTCATTCACTGCCTTACAGTAGCTGATCCACATGTTTCTCTCAACTATGTATATTTCTACAACATCCTTGAGAAATAAAAGATGGGTAAGAGAAATCTTTTGTTTGTTTTTCTAAGTCAGAGCCTTGATGTGTAGTTCAGGGTGGCTTTCAATTCATTACATGGCCAAGGCTGCCTTCAAACTTGCAGCAATCCTCCTGCCTCAACCTCCTGAGTACTAAGCTTACAGGCATGTGCCATCATGTCTGGCTGACAAATACTATTTTGAAGACAGAAAACCTAGGAAAATGAAGAGAACACACTGATGAGGGCCTACACAAAGCTCTATAATATTCAGGAGTTCTCAGTAAATCAGATTGCTGGCTACAGAAAGTTTGCCCAAGCCAGGGCAGGGTATAAGGCTCCTATATGGTATCTAATGAGATAAAAGTACATGGCTACTAAGTCCACAGAGCTAACATTCAAATGTTTATGCCAACAAATGAAAAAATCAGAAATACACATTAACCATCAGACCTGTAGTCAAAGTTTTGGGTTCTGGAAGTTTTTGGGTTTCAAATTTTGATGATCTACTGGAATACGTGCTTCAAGCAAGGAGAGAAGATCTGTAACGGCATTATCCTAGCAAAAACTTTCTGTCAAAGTTTTGTCAATGCACTTAAGTCTCTTAAAACCTAAATTCCTTTAATAGCAGAGTTAGCAAATAAACCTGAAAATAAAACGATTACTTTACAAATGTCATGTTGCAATGAGAACACCTAGCACACAGGTATTAATCTCTATGTCATTCTTCATTAAAAATAATCAGGTTCTTATGCAAAGTGGCTGAGAGCTGGGTTAAGGAAGTGCCAAATAAATCCAGAGCATCTTAATGAACCTCATCGAAGAACAATGAGGACAAAAGGCCCCTCTTGAAGAAACTTCCATTAGTAAAACCTGGAAATGATGGTATTGAAGAATTATAATTCACTGAATGAAGTTGGAATCCGTGAGTTCACTCTGCTAGGAAATGATGATAGAGAAAGAAATGGGAACATAAGAAAGCCTTCCTTACAGAAGAAAGCTAACTAATGAATGCAGAACGAATGCTAGGATTCGACCATCACTATTTAGTAAATGCTGCGACTGATTCAGGCAAGACATCACAGGATGCTAAAACCAGTGAATGGATGTTGAGGAGTTAGATAGGACATTTACATGATCTCAAAGTACTTCCTAATAAGGAAGTTTTTTATTTCGATGTAAAGAAAAACTAGTAACTATTTGGTGGAGAAACCTGGCAGATAATACCTTCACTGAGGTATTAATACTATCATCAGTAACAAAGCAAATTCACACCCTGAACCTCTGGATCTGATGCCACGAAGACTACAGCACCACATCTATGATGTTGGTGTCACTCTTACAGGAATACCCCACAAACCCACACTGAGGGACTGGCCTATTCACTTCAAAAATGTCAGTGTCAAGCAATACAATGAACCGGGCCATGGTACATGCCTGTGATCCCAGCACTTGGGAGGCTGAGGGCAGAAAGATCACCGCAAGTTCAAGGCCAGCCTGGGCTACATAGTGAGTTCAAGACCGGCCTACATTGTGAGACCTTGTCTCAAAAAACAAACGAAAAACCTAATCCATAAGGAGCCAAACAAACAAGAAAAGCCCCACAAAACAACAAAAGACTGAGTTTCCAGATTAAAGGAGACCAAAGAGACACAAAAACTGAAAACACATGATCCAGAATTTCTTTTGCTATAAAGAATGCTATTGGGATATTTGATGGAATCTGAGTAAGATCTAACTAGAGTACACTATTATATAAATGTTAATTTCTTGTTTTAAAAATTCTGGGTACTATTCTCCTAACTTTTGTAAGTGTATATCAAAATAAAGCTTACAAACCCCAAAATGTTATACAGTCCACTTTCACTATACCAGAATAACTTTCTTAGAAATTGCAGCAAATACTTGAGTTTTTATTGCATGCTTTTTAATTCTTTTACTTTTTCCACATGTGTTATGTGTTTTTGATTTAAGGCAGTCTGGTGACAATGGTGTATCCAGTGTAGGTCAAGCAGGAGAACTAAAATTGTTACAAAAATAGCTGTGTTCTCCCTATTTAAAATTCTAAAATGTTAACTTTGAAAGCAAATTAGGAAAAAAACTTACAAATCTAAATTTAAAATTTTTCATATATAGAAAAAATGTTTGAAACATAGTGAAAATTTTAAAAAGGCAGATCTAAATATATAGGAATCCAGGATATAGCTGCAGGAGAAGACATACTATAGAAACAAATTTGTGTAAATAAAAAATAAACATACTTAGACAAGTACAGAAAAATTCTGAGGGATAAGAAACATGAAGACTGGGAATAGGAACACAAGAGATTCTTTTCATAATCATAAAGAAAACCTAATTTAAATAGTAACTGACTCTTCCACAACCATGAGACTATATTTAACACTACTGAAATGTACACTTAAAAATGGTTAAGATGATAAAACTTACGTTGTTTTTACCAGACATTTAAAAAAATACATTAGAAAGTGATCTAGTTGGTGACGAGGTGACAAACTGCAGCTCGAAATGTATACTGGTTCAGGTACTTATTTTGTTTTACTTTTTGGGAGCAAACGTTTGAACCCGGGCCTTGTACATGCTCAGCACAAGCTCTACCTGTAACACCTGCTTCAGAATACAATTTCTCTACTTCTTACACTATCAAGCAGAGATCTACTAGCAATTTGACTCGTAGGTATCTACTCAAGAGAAATAAAAATACACTGCACCCACGTGCTGAGGACTGCAGGTAGGAATGGAGTGACTATAGACGGCTACGAGATTTCTTTCTGGGATGACAGAAATATCCTAAAATAAGATAATTTTGACAGCTACACAGCACAGATTTACTAAAAGTCAAATGGAAATAGGAAAACATAAATCTATTTGACAAGAAATAAAGACCATACTGATTCCTTTTAGTTTTTACCCTACACAACAGTTGGCCTCCCCAGCCTTACCTTTTCCAGCCGTTCTGGACTGGGCATTGGTAAACTCTGCCGCTTGGCCTCCTGTTCTAGAGTTAGAAGCATGTTTCTTTCTTTCAGTAAGACGTACCTATAGCAGAGGACACAAAGTCTATGATGCTGTTCTGTGGTTAAGTTAAAAAAAGTTGTGGTTTCTGACACCAAAATTAATCTACACTTAAAAGTCTTTTAGAATAACTTTATCTTTGCTTATTTACTTGTTCAAAAAAACTTTGTCATATTTCATTAAGTACGAGTTACAAAAAAACATAAAACATAATCGCTCCATTCCAAGTGGAGAGAAGGAAAGCAGAAGACAGAAAACATTTATTGAACATCTTTGCTAAGCATTTTCTATACACTATGTAATTCTCACAACAGCTCTTTGAGATTAGTGCTGTTTCTGCTTCCTAAATAAGTAAGGCTGAGAAAAGTAAGATGTTTCAGGCTGCACACCTAATTCTGGATTCAAACCTCAGATTCCCTGTATGCAAAACCCTTTCTATTTTTACTCTACCATGCTGATTCCGAAACTGTAATGGGATGTAGCTTATTGGATGGGAGAAACAAGTACCAGAACAATAAGTGGGAGGAATAAGACATCTTTTGTTAGTTTAGATGATCATGGAAAGATTCAGAGGAGACGGAACTTGGTGGGAAGGGAGAGACAGCAAACCATAATCGAAAAAACCAAAGCAGCTGAGCTGATTTAGTTCAGTTTTATGAATATATCAGCTTAAAATTACAATTCTAAACCAGAAAGGAAATAAATGTGCAGGACACTGAGAACAAGAAAAAGGAACAGCAGTACTTTATGCTATGGAAAAAGCCAATCTAAAGGGAAGGAGTGGCAGACGGTTTGCTCTCAGCCACAGTAAATGTTCAAAGAGCCCTAACTCCCTTTCCTGACAACCCATAATAATGTCCTTTAATTTAACATTTTTCTATAAAAAATCTAGAACGGGCATCTAGAAGGACCAGCTAATTGTTGTCATGCAGGAATACAGGGGCAGTGTTACTAGACTACAACCTGACTATTCCAGAGAAACCAATGTCTTTATTTTGGGGGCAAAATACACAATTTTCAGAACAGGATGGTTTAAACAAAGTATCTTTGGGCTAAATACAGCCACTTAACAATGCAACTTTGTCTTAAATCCTCTTAACCTTCTCAAATTCATGAGGAGAACCTGCCAGAAAGGTCTGCCTAAATGCCCCATAAAATTTCCCCTCCAACATAAATCCCCACACTGAGAGGCTAAAGACCTCCAGACCATGAAAAAGGCAACAAAAAAGGGAAAGTCTAAATGTGACCAACTATTCCCCTTTTTCTTTACCTAGTTTACCAAAATTCCTAGAATGAAAGTGTTGGTATGACTAACAGAAGTTACAATAAAATTTCCAAACTCCCAACGACAAAAGAACTATGATGTATTTGTCTTAATATAGTCTAAACTCTGCCATATTTATGAAATCTCTCAAGATATGGATCATATATATACCAGTGATGGCAAACCTTTTAGAGACTGAGTACCCAAGATACAACCCAAAACCCACTTATTTATCTCAAAGTGCCAAAACTGCCTTTTATGAGCACTGTTATCTGATGCTCAGCTGCTGGAGCGATGCTGGGGTGACCCGGCTCAAGTGTTGACAGGTTTCAGCATGCCCACCACGGCAAGCATGCCAAGGGTTTGCCACCACTGATACATATCATCTGTAGTATGTATGACACGATAGACCACTTTACTGAATTTCTTACATCACAAAGACAACATTTTTACTCCACTATTTTTTTTTTTTTGTCTTTTTCTTTTTTACCAGTACCAGAGATCAAAATCACGACTGCCTGCTTGCAAGGCAGGTGCTTATGCCGCTGAGCTAAATCCCCAGCCCCTTTACTTCACTATTATACTGTAACTGCTCCAAACATCTAGTTATACTCACCAAAGTTTATGTAAATCTTCATTACTTTTGTTCCTTAACTGCTGACAGGTCCATGCAGCTCCTATTAAAATAAATTCAGGATGTCAAATAATGTTTCTAGTTATGCGCCCTTGGCAAATTACTAACTTCTCTAAATCTGTTTTCTTATCTGTAAAATATAGAATTGCAGTATTATGTAATATATTAGAATTCAACTAAATAATATGAAAATATCAGTAACAAGACAGGCAATAACATTTTAAAACCGTCAGCATTAATACTGAATGTATTTTTACAATCTAACATCAAAATATTTTGTTACTACAAATTAGTTTTCAATTACCACTTCAGTTGGGAATCTAACATAAACTCTAAACCTCACTTTAGTTAATAATTTCAATTTATTCCTCTTCAAAAGTTTTGCCAACCTGCCAAGGAACAATGAACTTTATTATTATAATGATTCTTTAATGACTTAGTAGATGGTCTTAAAGGAAATTAAAAAAGAAACAGCTAAATAATTATTAAGCTGCACAAACAATACGAGAATGGAGGGTTCAAAGAACATTTAATATTTAGCAACCCAAGTTGCTCACCAGATTTCACTTTTTCTTGCCCCCAATTCTTTGGATCATCAAAAAATTCCTCCAGTCCTTTTCTTGACAATGTGGTATGAAGTAATTTACACTGGTGAAAGGATGTGACATCTGGTGCATTCTTAGAAAACAAGTTAAGAGAAAACCTGTGAATGAGCAAATAGGAACAAGTTACTAGAGTTTAACAATATTTGATTTTATAAGGAGTAAAGTGAATCCTCTTTTTAATGTCCAAAAAAACTTACTTGGTATTTCTGTACCAGAAGCAATAAGCTTTTAAAATTATTATGTATCTGAATGTTCACCTACTTTGCAATAATTTAAAATTATGTTTAAAAATATTTAATAACGTGGGGAAAATTTATTTAACTTGAATCTACAAGGAAGCAATCAGACAAACCCAAATGGAGGAGTATTCTAAAAAACCACCTTATAAAAAAATGCCAACATCATGAGAGTGTAAAAAACAAAATGTTCTGGATTATAGGAAACTAACAAGGCAACTAACGTAATAAATCATCCTTCATTGATTCCTGAATCAAGAAGAAAAAGAAATCTTCAGGACAATTTTAATTTGTCCATAAGCTGTACATAGTACTGTAATAGCAGTCATGTGTTAATTAAATTTCCTGAGTGTGATTATTATATTCTGATTAGTTCTTAGAAGAGATGCAGCATCATGGTTGTAATCTGACATACCTCAATAGCTGAGAATTAAAAGAACATAGAGATAAAGAAGAATTAAAAGCACATAAAGAGATAAAGAAAATGTGACAAAATGCTAATAATGATTCGCTAAAAGAGGTGAAGAGTATATGGTTACTACTCCTAACTCTACTGGTTTAAATTTTGGGTTTGAAATTTTTAAAAACAGAACACTGAGGGACAATAGTAGCAAACAATGGTATGTAAATATCCTAACTTTACTCTATTTTCCCAAAATGAACAAATGCTCATTTTATAATAATGAAAAAATGTGATAATTGTCTCCTTTTAAAACAAAAAGGGTGATGTAGAAGAAATAATTGCTCGAAGTTGGCCATCTTGATCAAGTTATATCTGGACCTTTGCAAAACTGAAAATATCGATTATCTCTGAGTAATAAACACACTAGCACATAAAAGATGCTTGATAATTGTGCATTCGATTGCAGATGTATTACTTTTTTAAAAGACCTGACACTTTCTATTATTTATTATGTTTTAAAAATATTTAATAACGTGCACAATGTAACTCGTTATAGACAAACGTCAGTAAAGGGGAGGAAACCATACATAATAAGTCAAAGATGCCTGGTCTATCCAGAAGACAAGTTGTCTTTTCATCTGGAAATAACACTTCTTACACTTCCAAGGCGACTTTCTGTTTATTTGGCTAACTTTCGGGATATACTTAATATCAGCTTTTAGTGGCAGAACCTGAAAGTACAAAGCCCCCTTATTTATCCATCCAAACCTGAAATAGCGTTCAGTTCCCAGCAAAAGCTCTTGGGTGACGTTTTCCCAACCTACCCAGCCAGGGTTAATTCAACAAATACAGGGCATCTACAAATTCCATCTACTGCCTGAGCGCTGCAACAAATGCTAAGGTGGGCAGCTTCTCCAAGGTCACTCGATCTTCACAGAGGCGGCTTTGAGCTCTACCCAAAGCGGCCCTTCCCTCCTTGAGCAGTCCTCGTATCTCTGCAATCGAACAAGATTCAAAGCTGGAGTGAAAGACAAAGCTGCTTCACTTACCCTGACCTAGTGGGAGCCTCAGGAGTTATTAATGACCCGGAAGCCTTCAGGACTGCTGAGATTCTTCTACAAAAAGTAGCCACACTGGCTGCAGCCATTTTTTCCGCACAGCTAATTAAACTCTATTTCCGCCAACAATCTCGTCATTTCCGCTGCCTAACACCGACGGGGTAAAAAGAACTGGAATTGGGTTTTGCCCTTACTCAACATGGCTACGTATCGACTTCGCCCTCATTAGTGAATTGACTCTCTCGGCTCCCGTCACCTTCCCAGCTTCTTCCTGTTGCCGGTGGCAGCCATGGCGGCTATGAGTTTATTGCAGCGCGCTTCGGTCACTGCGGTGACAGCTCTGTCTGGCCGCCGCCTTGGCACTCGACTCGGATTCGGAGGCTTTCTCACCCGTGTCTTCCCGAAGACTGTTGGTGCGTGCTGGCCTTGGGAGAAAGTGCGTGCAAAGGGGACGGGGTGAGAGATGAGAGAACTGTTCCCAGGTGACCTTGGTGAGATCTGGAGAGTGCCGGGACAAATTGTGGGCTTGGGTATTTAGGATACACAGAGCACCGTCTGAGTAAAGGACTTTACGTAATCAGATCGCTCGCGTTTAAAGTGATTAGTGTTTGTAAAACATTTTGCCATTGATTAACCCAGTTGGTGCTAATTTGCAGCCAAGGCTGAAAAGGTTTAGAGTTGATACCTGAGATTCTAGGGCACCAGATTCTTGGTATACTTACCACCTGCACCAAGTTCTGATCCCACAGATGGTAGGTCTTGTTGCTGAGAAGCCCACTGATATTGTGTAATACTAGACAGGTAGGCTTACCGCCAGCTTAGCTATTCGGCACAGTGGTCATTGTGCCTGTAGAGCCCATAATAATTTTAGGAACCCATGCAAATGTTATAAGTTAAATTTCTTTGTTAAAGGCTGCAGTGTTACTGAGTTCAGCCCAGGTTATATTTTTCTTTTTTGTCTGCAGTACATAATGATTACATTCATCCCGAGGAGTTGGTGCACGTACATAACACATCTGTATTCCTTTTATTTCCCTTTCCCCTTCCTCCTATCTTCCCATCTCTAGATATACTTCTCACTTGCAAAAGATCTATCTCCCTGTTTCCTATTATCTTTTGTATTAGTGCAGCCATAAAATGGTATTTCTAATATTTCAGGAAGGTGGGCCAAGAAGGTAAAAGTGCCTCGGTCCCAGAAAAATAGGGAGATAGTCCTAGAACTGCAAATTTGAATTCTTTAAATATTGTGGATGGTTGAGGAGGTGGGGGTAAATAGCAGAACATCAACTGATTGGCACTTTTTTCTTTCAAACACTTTGTAAAGTACATACAATATTATTGCCTAAATTTTACAGGAAACTGACTTAATTATTATAAAAATAATGCACTATTATATTCTAAATCAGTAATAATGGTAACCAACATTAATTGAGCACCTGTTGTGTGTCAGGCACCATTCTAAGGTTTTAAGATATTACTTCATCTTCTTGATCAAAGTTATTTGCCCTGTGTAAAAGAGAGAAGTGAAACTTTTATCATAAAACCAGATTGTCTCCAATCTCAAAACATCGCATTCTATTTTATTTCTTTTCCAAGTTTTAAGTATGCAGCTTAACATGATGTACTGGAATATACTGGAAAGGATTTAATAGATTCCAAGTAATCTCTAGCAGGACTATAGGAATATAAACTTAAAAAACTACTTGCGCTAACATTACTTGATACAATAATCTCTCGATTATTTATAATACCTAATACAGTGTGATGTTATGTAAATAGTTCTTACGTTGTATTTTTAAGGGAAAATGACAAAAATGTATGAGTGTTTAGTACAAATGCAATATTTTATTTTTTACTTAATTTTACTTATTTCGTGGATTGAACTCACGACCTCACACTTGCCAAGCAGGTACTTATGCCACTGATCTAAATTCCTGGCTGCAATGTTTTATTCAGATACTTTACACCATGCTGATTGAAGCCAGGGATGAGGAATCCAGATGTAAAGTATACTACATACCATTATACATATCCAGTCATCCGTCATTGGACACTTGGATTGCTTCTGTGTTTTAACTATTATGAACAATTCTGCTGTAAATATGAGAGATATCTCTTTGAGGTCTTGCTTTTAGTTCTTCTGGGTATTACCCAGAAGTAGAATAGCTAGATCATGTATTAATTCTGTTTTGATTTTTGAGGGAGACCTCTGTAGGTTTTCTACCGTGTTTATACCATTTTTCATTCTTGCCAGCAACGCACAAAAGTTCCAGTTTCTCCACATTCTCACCAACATTCATTTGACAATAGTCACCCTAATAGATATGTACTAATATCTCACTGTGGTTTGTATTTGCGTTTTCCTATAATTAATGTCATTGAACATCTTTTCCTGTGCCTTTCCATTTGTATATCTTCTTCGGAAAAATGTTTACACGTGTAAATGTTTACAATGTTTACAAGTTCTCATTCTGAGTTCTTGGAATGGAAAGGAAACCATTGACAGAGGTGCATTGGAAAGGTATACCTGTTTATTTTAAGAGAGGTCCTATATTCAGATTCTCTGAAGGGAAGATATTTAAAAATGCTCTAGCTGGAGATATAGCACAGCAGCACAAGCACCTGCCTGGCAAGTGGTAGGTTGTGCGTTTGATACCCAGTACCACCACCACCAAAAAAATATATATATCTATATCTATCTATCTATCTAAATATCTAGTCTAACCCTTTGTATTATGCTGAAGCCTATTATATTCTGTATTTGTCAGCTTTTCGAACACTGAGCCACACTACTTGACACCCCAACTTAAACGAGAAGATACTTAACTTGGTACATGATTTTAGGGGAGTTAGTCCATAGTAAGCTGGCTACAAGAAAGAAAGATATGTGGAACCAAGCTGCTTAGTCCATGATGACTGGGAAATGGAGCCAGAGAGGAAGGAATGAGGGACTCACCTCAGTGATCCACCCAGACATAGCCAGAAATGTGTTCCACCAACCCACTGGGAACCTCCTAAGCCCATCTGGTTGACACGTCAGGTTTAACCTGTATCCTGCTACTATGATATTTGAGTAATTGTAATGGGGAACGAGTGTAGCAGTCCCATTTTATTTTCAGCAACTAAAATTGCTAAGAATTTCATGTGTCAAGCTGAAAATTACTGTTTCACACTGATCCTTCTTCTTTCCTCCAGGTGATTACATCATAGAGTAGTCTTTTATCATTGGACAACCCTTTAGCTGTTTAAAAAGCTAATCTAATCTCTACCCAGACTTGTTTTATTGTGGGCCAGTCAACTTTAGTTCTTTTAGTCTCATTAGATCAGTTTTCAGGTTGTTTGCCATAGTGCTGTAGCGGTTAAGGTGGGCTTAGCTCCAGATTGTCCCCGAAAGAACAAACTTCTGCAGGTATAGTTGGGATGTCAGGGAGAGGGAGGATGGTTGTGTTCTGACTCTGTACTTCTTGTACATTAGATTAAGATTGAATTAGCCTTTGGCCTTTTTGGTGAGCAACTAAATCTGGGAGGATCAAGGCAGGGCTCTCCACTGATTACATTTATGCCTTTAGATTCATTTTGGAATGACTACAAGGACTCTTCTGGGGGCCACTCTGTCCTCTGTGTGTTAGCTACTCTTGTTGCAGTAGCATTGTGTTTCCAAGACTCAGTGAGTTAGAAACGCTGGCTCGGCCCCATCCAGGCCACTCATAAAAGTTTTGATGCTGCAAGGGCTTTGAGAAATCCCTTTGATAGATTATCACCTTAATTCATCAGCACATTTTGGTTATAACCAACCAATCAATTACTCGTTACAAAGTCATCTAACTTTACTCCTCTCAGCTTCTAATACAATTTTGCCTCACTTCTTCCCCCATCATCCTCTGAATGGGATTTTTTCTTCTGCGCTGTTTTTTCCACATTGCATACTGTTTCTTTCCTTTGTTGCCCTTACAGATTTGCAATTATTTATTTAGTCTCTGTTTCTCTTAGCAGAATCAGTAGCTTTCTTAGACCCATGATCTAGCAAAAGATCTGCGTGTATAGGCTGTTAAGTATTTATTGAACTAATAAGCATTTGTGGTATCATGTAGCCTATTTACTTCATGTATTTCACACAAAAAATAGTGGAGTGTTTCAAATAAGTCACTGAAATCTATACTTTGTTTTCTATTTCTTTTTTTTTTTTTTTAATCACTACCAGGGATTGAACTCACGACCATGTGCTTGCAAGGCAGGTGCTTTTGCCGCTGAGCTAAATCCCCAGCCCTATTTTCTGTTTCTTAATACTGTTATTTTAGGGGCCTTAGTATGACTTACACTTCATAAATTTGTGCCAGCTTCTGATTCCCTTGTGAATTAAGCTTCTGAATTCATTGTAAGCTCCCACAAATGATATCAAAGTTAAAATAGATCCTACCTTGAAAATATTAAAATATAATTAAAAGTGGTAGCAGCAGAAGCAAGTATATTTGGCTGTCTTATCTGTGGTTTCTGAATCCTTGGAATCAACAACTGCAGCTAGAAAATATTTGGAAAAAAGTTGTGCCTGTAATGAAACATACTCAGCCATTTAATTTTCTTTCTTTTTCTTTCTTTTTTTTTCTTTTTCTTTTTCTTTCTTTCTTTCTTTTTGGCACCAGGGATCAAACTCTTGGCCTTGCATTTGCCAGGTAGGCACTTACACTGCTGAGCTAAATACCTGGCTGCAATTTCTCATCCTCTTAGATAATAACTACATAGCATTCACTGTAGTAGGTATTATAACCTAGAGATGAAACTGCAGAAGGATGTGTTATATTTGGATACTACACCATTAGATGTAGGAAACTTGGGTATCTGTGAATTGTTTTATTTTGGGGGTCTTAGAACCAGTCCTGCATGAGTGGATACCTAAACAGAAGGATGCAAACGAGGAGGCACAACAATTTAAAAGCAAGAGAGATCTCCTCTGATTTAGAGCAATGTTAGCTTCTTGGCAACAGGACACATCACCTGAGCCTAAAGGGTGGATTTCAGGAGAAAGGAGGGCATTCCAGATATGAAACATGAACAAAAGATACAAACCTTTCTGATTTCTGTGACTGGGATTCCTTTAGTGGGAAATTAAAATTCTTCATGCCATAGTAACTCACATGCAGAATTCAAGAACAGTGGCCCAGCAGAGGCCATTTCTCAGTAACAGCTGGATTCTTCCCTGTTCCCAGTGGAAAAGACTTGAATCAGAAGAGTCCAGAAAGAGGATCCAGGAGAGAAGCTTTGCCTCATTTTATCTCTAGCAGTCCTTGGTTAAGTTCCTTCTGGGAGTAGTTTGAAGATGAGAGTATTCTTAATCAGAAATGGCTTGCAGATGGATTTGAGCCACATTATTTTAGAGCATATAGTTTTGTAACAAGTTCAAACTCCTGCTGGAGATTTGTTGCATAAATAATGTTGATCCTTTCCATCTATTTTGCAACAGCTTCTTTCTATTTGTTTGTTTTTTTGAAACAGGGACTCATTATATAGTTTACATTAGCCTTGAACTGGCTATTTAGCCCAGACTGGCTGTAGACACAGTGATTCTCCTGTCTCGGCTTCCCAAGTGCTAAGATTGTACAAGTGTTCACCACCACGCCAGCCTGGCAACTTCTTTGTGTACACTATCTCTTCATATAAAATGGTGTAATTTAAATTATAATAATTTATTTCTTTTGCAGCAATGTCAGATATTTATAGCAGAGCAAACAAAGGTGATCATCTCACCAAGAGTATCTGATCTGCCTTGCCTACTGCTTAAACATGAAATGATTACTTGCATGTGTAGTTCAGATTTAATTAAAATAGGTGGTAGAACACTGGCCTCGTATACTCAAAGCCCTGGATTCAGTCTACAGTGTTATAAAGAAGACAAAAAATCCAGAGAGAGCTATAGTTTAGAACTGTATGTCAGTCTTTGTTCACATCTGTCCTCAGTACTCAAAACAAAGCGTTTTTAAAATCTTAATATATATCAAATGCTTAGGTATGCATGTTTCCTTACAATCTGACTTTATCTCATAACAGTCTACTTGCATGAACTGTGTAAGACAGAGTAATTTGGTATTTCCAGCTCCTGTACGACACAGTGCAGACCATGGGAAAAGACTGTTCGTGGTCAAACCTTCTTCATTCTATGACAGACGTTTTTTGAAATTATTGGTGAGTTAAAAATTTTTTTGTTGAACTAAAATGTGTTGTTACAATTAGGATAAATTTTTTTGCCTCCTTAGAAAGCATCTTCCATTTTATAAAAGATTTGATTTTGTGAATCCATACTTCTATCCTCAGAAGATACTGTGATTGTGTAGTAAAGTCTGAACTGTCACTGCAGCTCTTTTTAAATTAGTGAATATTTTCACTTTGAGTAAAAGTGTGCACAGTAATAGGAGGTAAAGCTTGAGCTATTTCTTTCTTAACATTATAGAGATTTCTGGGGATATAGCTCAGTGGCATAGTGCCTGCCTGGCAGGTGCAGGGTTGTGAGTTTGATCCCCAGGACACACACACACACATGAAGAAGATAATGGAGATTTGAAATTTGATTGTTCCCTTGCTATAAGATAAAAAAAATCTGCAGGATTTAAGAGCTAGCTCAGTGGTCAAGCCCCTGCTTAGCATGACAAGACCCTGAGTTTGGTCCTCAGCACCACACACACACACACACACACACACTCTGCAGATTACAAAAACGAAAATTGATTTATATGGGGATGATTAGTTTATATTAGTACTGTCTAAATTGCCAAAGAAACTATTAAAGGAGCGCTATTATTTTGAATAATTTTTTATTAATATATTTGGGAACTTTTGTTTCAGAGATTGGTGCTAACGTATAGTACAGCCTTAATTCAGTGATGATAACATTGCTTATCCACGGTACTGACTTGTATTTGTATCTCAAGGCTGTGTGAGAACAAAGAAGAGGCTTAGAAAATGGAGGATTGTCTGGACGCTGCAACTGTCCCTAAAGCTGCCTCAGCATTTGGCTCTAGTTGTCTTGAGACCCTCTCTGCCCTCCTTTTTCCTTCTTGGCCCTCTTCGTTTGCTTGGCTGGTCCCAGTTTCCTTTCCATGGCCGAATCAAGCCCTGTTAGTGGTTTAAATCACCTTAAGGTTTTTACATGTTTTTTCTAACTTGGATGGCATTGCTTTAACTAAAAAGTGGTCATTTATATAAATTATAGGAGTGGGGATTTAGCTCAGCGGCCTAAGAGCCTGCCTGGCAAGTGCAAGGTCATGAGTTCAATCCCTGGTACCAAAAATAAATAAATAAATAAAATTATACTTGTACAGTCGAACCTTAATTTTTACTTCACTTTTTAGTCTTAAATGTAGAACAAATTAATATCACTGAACTCAATAATTTGATACCATATCCCCAATTCGGCAAGTTTATATTATAGGAAACAAGACAACCACAAGAGGAGAAAAGTTGAGAGTGAGGAGAGTTAGAAATGGTCATGAGAAAATTCTTTTTGTTTTTTAATCTTAACAGAAATTCTACCTTTTGTTGACTGGAATTCCAGTAGTAATTGGCATAACTCTGGTGAACGTATTTATTGGTAAGTCACCCCCACTTTCACAGTACCAAATTGGTAAATTTTTAAAGTAAATATGTAATTTTCAAAGAGATAATTATGAATATTATGATGAAAACACTTTTAAATAATAAAATAAACATAAGCGTGGTCATTTACTTAAAGGTGACCAAATTAAAATCTGCAATAATATATGATGTTATTTCTTAGCACATTTTCTCAAAACCTTGAAGGTCACTAAAAGAGGCCACATACTAAGTGTCCAAACACCTCATCCACCTTTTCCTTCTTATTTCCCAAAATCAGCTTCGATAAGTCTGAATAAGGGAAGTAGAAAGATACAGTGAAAGAGAGGTGAAGTGGCCAAGGAAGTTTTTAAAGTCCTCCCTGGATCATATAAATCTTATTCTCTTTTAGAAAAAGAAAATTGTGAATAGAGTAAACATTACATTTTCATGGAGAATTCTGTTCTGAGTACTTCTAACACTTTGAGTTCTAAAAGTTTTTGTCTAGTGACTACAGGGAAGCCCTGAATGATATAATATGTCTTTTACTAAACATTGTTAACATTATATTAAAATGAGCTCTCATTTAATGTTTGTAATAATGCCTTAACCCTGAAGATGTCTAAATGTACTTAATGAATGAATTGCTATGCAGCCAGACTAAGGTGAATTTAAAAAGCAGATTTTCATTGGTACAAATGAAAGATCTCTGAAAACCACAGAGTATTGATTTCTTGGTTTATTGGTGAAGAATTAATATTATAAACGCCTAATGCTAAAGTTGAAGATCATCATTTTTCTCTTATTAGGTGAAGCTGAATTAGCAGAAATTCCAGAAGGCTATATCCCAGAATTTTGGGAGTATTATAAGGTTTGTATAGGTCACTAAAAATTATTTTTTATTAGGTGTTTTGTCACAGAGTTAGGTAATATTTTACTTTGGTAATTGTGATATATCGTTTTATATTTAATTTTAAATGTCAAGGAGATAACTTTTTTTTACTAGCAACTACTTTTGGTACTTTTTGAAAAGCTTTACAGTTTTTTAAAGAATGACTTTGCAGTGTATTCTCAACCTAGCAGACTGACAGAATTTTTTCTAAGTACAAAGCCAAAGGAAAGAGGTTACCAGTACTGATGCCTGCTCTCTTTCATTGAGCACCTACTGTGGAGCAAACACTAGAAGTCTTTTGCAAATATTTCATCCCATGTAGAAAGTACACATTGTTCCCTGCTTTAGAGTTGAGGAAGCTGCTCGGGCCTAAAAGGAGTAAGTGACCTATTCAAGAAGTGGAGCCAGTATGTGTTAGAAACCACCGATCTGACTTGCAAACCTGTGCTGGTGAATGGTACAACAAACCACCAAACCCCAAGATTAACCTGTTACTTACCCTCACAAGTATTGTAGTGAGATGACATCGTGTAGACTATACTTCCTTGTGTTTTATTATGTGAGTGAATTATGTTTTAGAAAACACACTTCTTTATTAAGTGATCAGGTAAATCATAAAATCAGTTTATTTTTCTAACTGGTGGGAAGAGCTCCATGTTTGGATCAGCAAAATCTTGCTCTGTCTCCTGAATCTGCCACTTTTGATCCCTCAGCCTAAGGTGATGGGAAGGAGCACAGGCTCTAGAATCAGACAGACCTGGCTTGAATCCACATAATGCTACTTAGTTTGTGCAATTTGCTCATCTCTAACATGGGGACAAAAATAATACTACCTAATAGACTAATGTTGTTTAAAATACATATAAACTAGGTGGCATGTAGTAAATGTTACTGTTTAACTACCTGCAGTAGCCATTTTAAAGAGTAATCAACTAGAAGAGCAAAGCCATGTTCAGAAACTAATTTTAAACAAATATTCTCTGACAGCATCCTATATCAAGATGGATTGCTCGTACTTTCTGTGACAGCCCTGAAAAGAATTACGAGAGGACAATGGCTATCCTCCAGATTGAATCTGAAAAGGCTGAGTTACGGTAGGGAAAAGGGGTGGGGAAGAAAATCATTTTCTTGAGTTGCAAACCACAAGAAAAAGAAAACTAAACTATTTCAGAACTATAAAGTTCTTTATGTGAAGAGTTGAAGATCGAATTTGCCTTTCTAGAGTGAACACCATAAGTGGGTAACTATCAGGAGATAATGTACATCAGATTAAAAGGAATTCTTTTGTAACTATTCTATACTTTTACATTCAAGGCAACCCTTTCATCACACTACTCTGCTCCCCTCCTTCCACCTAGTCTTATCCTTCGAAATGACCTCTATTTAATAATTTCCCATATATGTTCTTAGAGAATTTTACATGTTAAAGAATATCTATTTTATAAATTTAAAAATGATAGTAATACTGTAGAGTGAGACTTGTCCCATAAACACTGTTTTGTACCTCGCTTCTATTTCAGTGAATGTGGTTTGGTGATCTGTAGTAACCTAGACCCCCTTCTATTTAATGGCTGCATTATGTGTTCACTGGAGGGATGAGCCTCACTTTGTTCAGCTAGTACCCTCTTGTTGGTACTTAAATTCTTACCACATTTTTTAGTATTATACATAATGTGGTAGAAGGTTCTCTTATGTATATATTTTTGTATATTTATACATCTGGAGAAAGTAAATTTCTATAAGCCAAATGGTATATGCATTTAAATGTGAAGATACTTACTGCCTTACATTTCTGGAAAGGTGTCCCACTTATTTTTTTCCATCATTAATGAATGATAATTTCTGCTTCTCAATGTTGATCTCATTAATGGCACATATCAAACTTAAACATGTTTGCTGATGTGAGAGTTAGAAAATATTATCTTATTATTTTGACGTTGTATTTCTTTATAAGCATCAATATTTTGTCACATAGCTATTGTGTGTATCTCTTTTTCTAAATTGCCAGTTTTCTTCTAAGTGCACATTAAGTAGTATTCTTTTTTTGGTGGTTGTTGCTGATGTTTTTCTAGCTTGTCATTTACCTTGTGACAATGGAGAATTTTTTTGCAAGCAAGAAGTATTTTTTTATGTTTCAGGTAACAAATGTGCAGTAGTCACTAAAATGTAGCTGACTAATTGCCGCACCAGTGTTTCTCCGTGTATGTGTTTATTCTTATTTGTTTAATTACTGTCACATTTGTCAGTCTTTTTCCCCAGCTTCTGGGATTTTGTGTCATCCAGAGAACTCTGATAGTAATTAAATAAGTGAATACTGTACACAATTCTAAAATTATTTTTTAAACTATTCTGTTGGGCTCTCAAAATGTAATTCAGAGGTAAAGCACATGCTTGACAAGTCTTCCAGTCATTAGTGCCCCAAAAAACTATTTTGTGTTTTCTTTTACTACTTTTAAATGTGATCCAATCTGAAATATTTTTTTAAGTGTGGGATATTATTGACAAGCAATCAAATGTACCCATTGAGTGGCAGTTTGCCAGAGTGTGTACCCATGTAACCACCACCACAGTCAGAGTCATTTTGCACACTCTAAGTATTCTTGTGTGCCTTTTCCCATCCATCCCATTCAATCTCCATCCTCTCTTCTTGATCCCAGGTTACCATTGAGCTGCTTTTCTGTTCACTCTGCTTAAACATGGTATTTTATAAACACTGCTATAATCCTGAAATACATTTAAATGACAAAAAAAGCATATTATTGGCTGTTTCCTACATATGTGTTTAATACATGCATGGTTGCTATATAGAACTGCTGTGTATTTCAGAGCATAGAGCAGCAATGTGGCTTGTATTTAGTAGCATAAGGCTTTTTTGAACTTCATACACAAACCTTTGAGTTTCAGTTCAGTAATAGGACCTAGAAATCCTCAGACATACAGAGATTCTAAATAGTTACAAAACAAAACAAATTACCTGAAACCATAACTTCTTCCCTAACAGGGAAGATGCCAATGTGAACATGGAATTAGAAGTATCTATAGTTTTAAAAAAGCATGCATTGAGACATTCATACACTGAGACATTAAAGAAATATGTAAAAAGCACGATCTCTCATAGTTGATTCCCTCTGAGAGAAGGCTTTTAGTCCTTCATAGTTTTAAAATTTTTCCCGCCAGTGCTGGGGCTTGAACTAGAGGTCTTTACACTGAGGTACAGACCCCATCCTTTTTTTCTGTTTTGAGACAGGTCTCACTAAATTGCCTTGACGGGGCTCAAACTTGTACTCCTGCCTCAGCTTCCTAAAGTGCTGGGAGCACAGGCATGTGTCACTGTGCCTTGACTATACACTTTGCTCTACAACTTAACTATTGTATTTATCATCTCCCTCTACAGTGTTACATATAGATTCTCCTTAATTCTTTTTAATAGTACATTATGTGAATGAGCCATAGTTTACGTACCTGGTTAGTCCCCTGATAGTGAGTATTTTAATTACTTGAATTTTGGATGGTTACATTCTGAAGATAGAAAAGAAACATGGCATTTAATCATTAAAAAAGATAAGCAGAAGTCTTTTAAATGTACAAACATAAGATAAATAAGCTTTCATAAATAGGATTAGTGGGCAGGTTAATGTTGAAGTAAATTTTGGTTTTGTTTTCATTTTTGAGACAGTGTCCAAAAAACAGATAGTAGTGCAGGCTGATATTGACTTCATAGCAGTCTTCCTATCTCAGCCTCCAGAGGGCTGGGATTACAACGTGCCACCACACCTGACTTTAAAGTAGATTGTTTATATGTGATAAGTTTCCAGTCTTATGAGAAGTATGTGTTCTACAAAAATGGACCACCAAAGGGTAAAAAATGTGTCCTGTTGAGCCAGGGCATTATGATGCCCTTCCTTTAGAGAAGTTTTCAGTCCTAATGGTGACGGGCAGCCAATATAGACAGAGTTCTTCTAAGAAAGATTGTCATTTTCCTAGGACTTCCCCAAGAAATGGCTATCACAGTGGGCATTCTGTAAATGCTTCTAGCATCTAAAAGGTGAAAAGACAAGAAAAGTGTTGTCACAGTTCAGGGAAAATAATCTGTCCAGGCAGAGCAAGGATTGGTGAAGGAGACAATTATCATTTCGAGTCATTTAGGGACAAAAACTTGTGGGTGACTACCTAAGCCAAGTAATAAAAGTAAGTCCTAAATTTGCTTACAGATAATGTAGTATATGTCTGGGTACGCATAGGGCTGTGTACATAAAAACAGAGGATTCTCTGGTGATTGTTCTTTATGGAGATACTTCATTCCATTTGAAACTGGAAACCCTGGATCACAGTGTCATCGTTGCATTTGTCACAGGTTAAAGGAGCTGGAAGTTCGAAGACTTATGCGCGAGAGAGGCGATGGGCCCTGGTATCAGTACCCAACCAGTGATAAAGCACTTATTGATCATTCTCCAAAATCAACTCCTGACAACTAGTTTATTGCTTCAGATACAAAGTACGTTCCTCTTAAGTGGAAATAAGTTGATAAATGTACCTGTCTTTTTGCTGTGTGATGAATAAAAGGAGCTTCTGCCATGGCTTTGTTTCTCAGTGTTGGTTCAGATGAAGGTTTTTGGTTCTGTGGTTTTTGGTTCTTTTATTTTGTTAAAAAGTTTAAAATGCAATGATAAAAACTGGAGAAATTGTAATTTTTGATTTCCCTAAATTTTGGTAGTATTGACAGGTTTTTTTGGCAAATGGATGTTAAGAGAAGTCTTAACCGTATTAACCCTTCAATGTCTGCTGTTCCATTTTTGGAACATGCGTGACAGTGGAATATAATAAAATTCTTGCTCTTCAAATTCTTGTTCCTTGAATTTTTCCAGGAAATGTATGAATTTCATGCAAAAATGTAAAACAGTGACCTGCAGCATAAATGGGTTAAATATTGGGAAAAATGGTTTTTTGTACCTGTCTGTACTGCAAATACTTCGAACTTCTTTAGGAACCACTCAGGACTTTTAAGTTATATATGAAATATTGAACCACCCATATAAAATTTAGCATCCTAAATTTTCAGATAACAAATCTCCAGTTTGTAATGTTCTCATACTTTCTTTTTTTAGCTTTATATTATTAAAACTATACAAACTACATTTTTCTTAGATTCAGTTTGTATGATACCTTAAAGATTTGTTTTGTTTTGCTTTTGGTTTTGGTAATACTGGGGAAATAGCTTCACAAAGTAAAGTGATTACTGCAAAGATGAAATCTGAGGAACAGCTAAAAATAATGGCTGCCCTTAAACATTTATTATTTGCTGAGCCCTGTACCACATACCTGCCTTTTATTCACCATTTCAAATTGCATTTTGAGGCCCTATTACTCTTTTTTTACAGATGAGAGAAAATTGGAATACTTTATATATGTACTTAACATTTACAAAAAGTAATTATTTGGTCTTTTTGCTTCAAACATTCATTATTTCTCAACCTGTAATAATCAGCGAATCTAAATTTTAGAAGTATGTTCTTACATTGTTTATGAAAATAAAAATGAACTCAGATCTCCTAAGATTTGAGCTACTGAATCTCCCTATGTATTTGCAAGGATAAGTGGATAAATTCTTTTGCTGTCAAACAAAGTAAATGAAAAGGCAGCAGCACTGGTTCAGGGTATCTTGATAGAGTGCCTAAAACATGCAACTGACTATACAGCCTCTCTCCCCAGAAAAGGCCTGCCATGGCCAGCTATTCCCAGATTTTATTCAGCACATTCTCAAAGTGGTCTACCGTCTCGGAGCTCTGCCAAGGCCTGGGAGCAGGGCTCAAGCCCCTGCTTGTGAAAGCCAGTTTTGTAGGATAGGGATAAGCTGCAAGAGCCTGGCGCACGGTGATAGTAAGGTGATGCAATAATGTTCGTTATTTTAGAATTTGCAGGTTATTGACAGTTGAAGGTTTTACTTTATTTTTCCCTCTCTATTATAAATGTAAGAACTTGGCATAGTGAGTACACAGTTTTAATGAACTAATAATGCCATTTATTAAGTCCAGTTTGTAGCAAACACAGAGTAGGCACTTTGCATATTTCTTACGGTGGTGCTTTAGTGAAGGTATTGCTGTCCTTCAGTGAAAAAAAATTAGGATTTGAAAGAGCAAAATAAGTAGCTTAAAGTTACATCTAATAAAAATTATACTGTGTGTGTTACTGTTAAATATTAAACTCAGTGCTTTGTACATGTTAGGCAGATGCCCTGCAGACAAGCTAAATCACCAGCCCCAAGACAGATTTTAAAGGATTTAAAATAAATGAAAGGAACACGGGGGGCTGCAGATGTAGCTTGGTGGCAGAATACATACTTAGCTTTGTGGAGGGCCTGGCTTCAGTTCTTCCACAGCACAACAGTCCTCCAAAGGAAATAGCTTTCATTTGCCTCATATATCTTCATAAGCGCCCAACGTCCTTTTCTTCCTTGGTTGGGCTTAATTTCTTTAACAATTTTTTTTTTTTTTGAGATAGGATCTACGTATGCAATTTAGGCTGCCCTTGAACTCACCATGTATAGCCTAGGCTGGCCTCAAAGTCACAGTGATCGTCCTGCCCCTGCCTCCTAAGTGCTGGGAGTACAGGTATCTGCCAGCATGCCCAACATGATCCTATTTTTTTGACATTTATTTTGCTTTTATCTCATAGGTAAGCAAGACATGGTGTGCATGCTTGGAATTCCAGGAGGGGGAAGCTGTGGGAGGCTGAGGCAAGAAAATTGCAAGTTCAAGATTAGCCTAGGCAATTCACGGTCTCAAAATAGAAATACAAAAGGGCTGGACGGGAGACATAGCTCAGTGCAGAAGCCCTTGTGTTCAAATCCAAGTAACGCTTATGTGCATGCACACACAGACACACACACACAGACACATACCAATCACAGGTAAATACTGGCATGCCTTAGTGGGTTTCTTAGAATAAAATCCTGAAAGAAAAATATTTAGTTGGATCGTATGTCTTTAGACTTTTTATACTGTTGTCAAAATTCCCCTCCTAGAGCTGGGTGTGGTAGTGCACTCTCTGTAATCCCAGTACTTGGGAGGCTGAGGCAGGAAGATTGTTGCCAGTTTGAGACCAGCCTGGGCTACAAAGTGAGCTCAAAAGCCAACCGAAACTACCTAGCGAGACCCTATCTCAAAAAGACAAAATCACCCTCTTCAAAGGTACCAGTTCTCACTCCCACTGACAGCATATGAAGGCATCAATTTTCTGAAGTCCTAAAGACTTAGAGGTTCCAAATCTCTTGCCAGTCTGATAGTAGGATATTGTGACAGTCTCAACATTCCCCAAGGCTCTGTGAACAGTGTCATTCTGAAGATAGTGTTTTCCACTCGTGACGAACTTTAAACCTTTACGAGAATGTCGAGTCTGATGTAGAATTTGATTTTACATCAGACTGCTTGATGAACTCATTGAATCGCAGTGGAGAGGGATGGTGCCAACAGAACAGATTCCTACAGCTGGCAGCCTTGTGTTCTCTGCAGGTATTGTTTCTTTAACACGATCATAGATATTTCATATTCTGTGCTTGGGAATTCAAACATCTGAGGTCTCGCCGATCTATTTTTCTGCGTTGGTTGTTTCTTCTGATCTCATTCTTGTTGCCTTGTTTTCTTATGTGCTTTTTTCCACAGCGAGCAGTTCCTTTTCCTTGCATTTGCTCCTGCTTCAGTCTGATGCTGGAGCATTTTAATAGAGAGTCAGTTTCCACAGTCAGGTTCTGCTGTATCCACTGAAGAATATTGATGCACCATTTAGGTTTAAAAAAATCCATGAACAAACATTGTGTATTCCAGATAGCAAGCAAGAATGTCCAGCATTCTGGGATTGTAGAGATTGCCCTTGTCAAGCACCTGTTGCATGACTTGAGAGAGAATGTGGGGATCCTCAGGGTGCTCAGCGGTATGGCTTTGCTGTGTTCCACTTTCCTGCAGTTTAATAGGAGCTACCCCCGTCAGGTTTCCAGAGTTGTCTCAAGGCCTTGAAGCTGGAAGGAAGACGTTTTCCCAGTGCTGATTCCAGGTTCTGGGTTGACTGTGTCTTTGCATGGAGCTGTGGTATCACACAAGTACTGGCACTTGTTTGATGAGAAGCGTGTCTCTCATGTCAGTGAAAACACGAAGTCTGCTTTACTCTAGCTGTGAGGCCAGAGTTGTCCAAAGCCAGACTATTTCCCACTGCCTTTCCATGACTTTGCATATTGTATTCTTGACCATCAGGGTCAATGCTTTCCCTGTGTACTAGAGCAAACTAGGTCTCCGACATTTGCTTGGAGATCACATCTTCTATGAAAATTTTCCAAAGATTGGATGGTTTTTAAGGAGGGAACGGGCTTCCCGGCTTTTCTATCCGTTTTTTTCTATCCGTTCTCTTGGTATCCCGGGATTGACACATGAGATCTAAGGATGTTGTAATACTCACAAAAGTGCCTGCAGGGAGAAAGTAGATTTTTAAGAATTTCTCATTTTGAATCTTGTAATCCTGACCCTATCATTATTATAACTACAGATAAATAGTTAAGTTAATGTCATCCTTAGGACAAGGGATATCTTGACCCAGCAGGAAGGGATGAAAAGAAAAGGAAGAACCTCAGATTTTTGCAGGGAGAAAAGAAAGGAGAGAAAAAGAAGAGAAAAAAGTCAGCTAATAATATCCTTTTATTGCTATCCGTATGAGGTCAAATGTGTGACAGACAGACAGACAGAGACAGAGAGGAAAAGGTAGAGGGAAAGGGGCAAGGAAAGGAAGAGGAAGGGTTGAGGTGGGGCCATGTAGTAGAAATATTGATAGATATGGTAGATATTAAAAGCAAGGCCTAGAAGAAGTAGTCTCCTCCCCCCAGGAAAGGAAATTCCAAGAAATAACAGAACAGAAAGTTTAAAAAGACACACTGTGTTCTAGGAAAAGGTGGAACAAAAGGCGCCAAGGCATATGCTCTTTAAATGACTGTATTTTAGGGGTAGGGAAGATTTCTAGCCCCCAAAAAAGCAAATGACTTATAAAGAAGAAAACATTCAAGCTGGTTGCAAGTATTTCATGTTCCCATTTTTATGAAATTATTTCTTTTTACCCATTCACCCATTTTTCTATCCATAGACACACAAAAGATATTTGGGCATTAACAATGGTAATTCTATGCAAAAAGGATTTTGGACAATTTATGTGCATCAATCCATTGTCCTAATGTTGTGTTGTTTTTGTTGTTAAGACCACTATAGTGGAAAATTTTAAGAATCATTTCCACTGGCACCAAGTTTTTCATTCACAGAAACATTTTTGTCCATATTCTTCAAAAGTAGGGAAGAAGTGAAGTAGCCCAAAAATATTTTTAAAATACTGCTTTTTGTCGGGAAAATAACAGAAAAAGAAATAAAGTTTAGCAGGAAACTTGACTGCCTTAGCAATATTGTACGCTTCAGTAGATAATGGTTTTGCTGTGATAATAACCTCAGCATCTCAGTGACTTACAATCATGAACAATTAATTTTGGGTCTTAAAGTAGTTTCCAGTCTACTGGATTCTGTGATTACCACGTATCTTTCCTTTCTAAAAATCTAGACCAAAGGACCAACTCTCGATGATATTAGTTATAGAGAATACTCTGTCCACAGGTAAGCATGAGAAGGGCAGACCAGGAACGGAGACGTTTGAAAACCACTGTAATGTACCACGTGGACCTTGATTCCATACTATCATACCCTGCCTCTTCCTTTGGAACATACATTTTTTTGCTCTTCTATAAACCCATAAGCTTCTTGAGAGCAAGCATAGGAATTTGCATTGTAGCTCTTTCATTTCCTGTGTGTGTAACATTGGG